AGTGAGTTAGAATTATAAGTTGCCAGAATCAACCAATTAATGATACCTGATGAATGACAAAACATTCATCATTGATAAATAACGAACCAACTTTGTCAGGATAAATATTTATGCAATATTATTTGGATGTAATAAATATAGAATAGATAAAAAAATGAAATCCTGTTTTAGGAGTCATTGAATGCAAAATGATTATAATGCATAACGATAACAATAGTGCATAATTTATCTAGATATAAATAAGAAAAAAAAATCCAATATTCGAATGGCTAATTTAAATGCAACTCTATGAAACGAAAATTATAACGGATAATGAAACTTATGGCGATTGATGAAGTACAAGATTATTATTCTTTTTCATTACCATCTACCGAGTTTAGACATATTTTCCGACATTACCCGATGATATGCATTAATAACCCAGATTTATCTGATAAGAAAACTGCAAATAGACGACTTCAGATTCTATGTAATGTAAAGCAAAAAATAATTATTCAATAAGCTTTTAAATTTTGTGAAGTTATCGTACGTTCCAAAATTAGGCATCCAAAATTAAACTCCACTTTTTGTGTGGCATCAAAAGTAAAAACCCTCACGCTATATAACTATTGTTAAACCAATGCAAATCACCGAAATAGATAAGTCTGGATACTCTCATTCATAGATGTGACATAATGAATGGCATTTTCTATATGGTTTTTGTATTTTTGTATCCGTCTATATAAATTACATAAAAAAACATCTAAAATTAAATATCTCTGCTAATAAAAAAAAAGAGCATAATTTCGGAATGTTTCGGTAATTAAGAATAAAGAAGTCAAGATCTAATCATGACCTATGATTTAAAATTTTCCGATGCGATTGGACAACCATTGTCATTACTAACGAAGATATTTCATTAACACTCTAAGAAACAGATATCACCATCCGTTCTTCTTTTCTTTGTTATATTGCCATTCTAATTCGTTCCTTTATAAGTGCTTATTATGGTAACTTTGAACTTATTTTTTTTAAGTAGTGAACGGCAATTTTTGTGATATTCAAGTAATTGATCTTCCTACCGCTCATACGTGATACCCGGCAACTTATTCTAATCACGTTGTTGGGTCTAACAATAGCCAAAAATAGCATAGAGAACAAATGCAGAATTTATTTATTTTAATAAATAGAGTAATAATCGTCATCATTGTTACCATACCGATACATTTTAAAATTAAAATTAAATTTAAGCTCAATTACATAACTTTTATTTAGGAAATATTAGGCTCGTGTTTCGTGTAACCATAAACCTTTTAGAGATATATGCACATGATTTACCGACTTGTTCGATCTTTTTTGGCAAGTTAATTTTAATATCGTTATCTAGGATCGATTAATTTGTCTTTTTATACGTAGTGGACATTAAAAACCACATGCCTACTTTGAAAACCAGCTAATAGACCGTGCTATGGATCGATTTATAGTTCGGTCCTGGACCACTGTCCAGTTCACAGTCCTCTGCTAGGCACGTAAGTAATCTGTGACAGGTTAATTCACTGATTTCAATCACTGCCTTAAATCATGATGAAAAGCTATTGTATTTAGTAATTTGAAAGGTTTATCATTACGAAGTTAAAGCTGAAAATATAATCATATTTGGTTATTCTTTATTTTTTTTTTGCGATTTTATAAATGATTTTTTTTTTATCTAACATGAGCAAAGTGGGCAAATTAAAAGCTTAAAATAACCTATCGACTTCTAATAAGACTTTCCGTAAAAGAGAACCAATTGTTTAATAAAGTGCAAGTTTTACAAATTTTGATTTATTTTTATAAGAAAATGGATGAGATCGATATTTCCGGCATCATTTCATTTTTAGTTATTAATTTAAACTGCCAAAATATTAGCCCAACATTACTAACCATGTTAGATAAATTCAAAGTTCAATGTAATGTAATAAAAATAAAATCACCCGAATATTTGTCTTTAACAAAAGTGCTGCGAAAATATGAGTTCACGAATAAATGATATGGAAGAAAGAAGAATTCAGCTCTTTGAGTCATTTTCATTAGAAAGAGGTAGAATTAAGTATTTTTTAAGGAAGAATATATTGAACAATAGCACGGTTAAAGAAACGACATATTGTTTGCTTTGCTTAAAGTAAATTAATTTTTTATTTTTTATATAAATATTTGTTAGTTAATATCAAAAGCAACTTTTGAATTTATAAGTTATTTTTTTTTAATAGTTTATGACAGTCAAGTCTTACTATGGGAATATAATCGGACAGTGAGCGAAATTAGTGGCTTAACCTGTAACAGATTACTGATGTACCTCTGCTAGGACCAGTCTTTAGGACCAGTGATGTATGGTTGGGAGATCCCCGAAGGACGAATAAATTTTTAAGATCACATATAACATGCATGAACAGAAAGATTCAAAGCAAACGTTCGTTTTTTAAAGTTTATATTGTCAAAATTTACAAATTAAAGTATTTATGTTGAATTCAATCGTGATAGATATAATCACTCACCAGTTTAATATTGTGTAACATTAATAGTCTCTGCTATAGATCGTGTTAATTTCACCTGATCTTGAAATCTGATTCGTATTTAGAAAATCTGCGCATAAGCCCGCACACCAAGACGTGCAAGAACTTTGTTTATGCCACAAACCTGACACACGTCTCATACTGCAAATATGTACACAACGGTTATGTAATTGCATTACAAATTTAGGATACTCGGCATGTCATCTTACCCCCGTTCGTTCAGTTTTACACGTATTGCTTTTTTATTATATAGATAGCGGTTTGTGCAAATGTACCTTTTTATAAAATATAACTGGTCAATGCAAATTCAAGTATAGCTACGATGTATTCGAGAATTTATTTAAAGTGTACGTAATATTTTATTAATATTGATATTGCTAACTTTATTTAAATTCTGGTCATGGTTTTCAAGAACTCAGATTGCAATACCCGAAATTACGATTACAAAAATGATTACAGTTTGAAATAATCACTTAGAATCCTTTGAATGTGAGAATTATATTAGCGTTACATACTTATAATAATATATATATATAGTACATATATATAAATCAGCTAATACGTATGCTTGTACAAATTCCAGTAATGAATGAAAATTTATACTAAAAATAATAAAAATCAACATTCAAAGTTAGCAATAATGCAGCAGCAAGTGTATTATCTCTTCTAAAGACTATCAGTTTCAAGTAAAATATCGTATGATATTTACAACTGGTGATGTGCCGCGTACAGTACTATACGCACTGTACGGTGGGGGACAAAAGTGACGCCCGATGATCAATTTTCCTAATAAAATATATATGCCGTATATAGTACACTACTGCACTAAACATTATGATTTAAGAAAAAAAAAGTACTTAATTGGCACCAGTAAAGTTCTATATAATAAAATTCAAATGTCAAATTTTCTAAAAAAATATTATTATTAAAATCTTGATTTTTAACGATTTTAAAAAATTGTATTTTTATTATGTTTTTACTATGTTATATTAAAACTTGATATTTTTTTAAAAATAATAATTTTTAATTTATACCGCTCATAAAATATAATTGTAATACGATTAATAACTATGGTTTGAATTTTTTTAAACCATTTTTAAAAATTTATATTAAATTTTATATGTTTTATATATGAAATTTTGGATCATAAACTTTATAAATTAAAAAATAGAAACCAATTTGCTTGACCAATGAAAATTATATATTATAAAATATAAATATAATATTAAATTTACTGATTATACTAAAAAAAAAAAAAATTAAAGAAACATATTAATTTTATAAGTTATATAAAATTATATAAAATCTCAATCTCTTATATGTTTTATTATAAAAAAATTATCGGGCGTTACTTTTGTCCCCCGCTGTACGTACTGCACGCGAAAAAATTCTTGTATCATATAAATGAGTATATAGCAAACGCGTAGTGTATAGTTAATAAAGTATGTATAGTAGAGATTAAGATAGTGTATATAATTGGTAAAAAAATTCTTTAAGAGATTTTACCTATAGCCTATACTAACCCTAACATGAAAAGGGTAATATTAGCACTCACCCTAACCCTATCTATTAAAAAGAGATTATTTATAAAAGGTAAATTTTATAAGTTTCTCTAACAATACTTACATCCGTAAATTTTCTTAACCTACATATATACAAACAATAGTATACATTACTTACAAACAAGTTTATACAATACATTTTTCTGTAATACCCCTCCACATAACTCGCTACAGGAAACAGGAGGAGCCGTCAATGCTACACGACAGATTCTTCACCGATGTATAACATATAAAAAAATTATTTTACAATACCAGATCATTCCTCTAGTACATGTTATAACACCATTTTTATTATAATAAAATGGTCTTGGATTATAATCATAACACGTACTAGCGAAATGATCTAGTATTGTAAAATAGTTTTTTTATATGTTACACATCGGGTGAAGAATCTGTCGTGTAACATCGACGGTTCCTTCTGTTGCTACAGGACCATACACTTCATATTTGATACACCGTTCCTAGTGCTTGGAAACCCGATGCCTGTTTTTCCTTTGTTGTCAATTAAAAACAATAACATTGGCACGAACAAAAAAAAGCCTAAATTGTATATACTGTATGTATTTGAAGAATTAAATTCAAATAAAATATACATAAAATAAATATCCCAGTAACGTAGTGAAACAAAGTGTATGTTAAATTATTCGCATAATTACAGTACCACATTTGTCTCTTAACTGTTTAATGCAAGTACAAGATTTATTCGGAATCGGGATGAGTGGTTTCTAAACTCATAATAATTATATTCTGACATACGGCATATATAAACCATTCCATAAAGCGTTACAGTAATGAAACGAAATATCAAAGATTTTTTTTTTTGCTTTAAATTTCTTGCAAGTTTTCATAAAACTTTTAAAAAACTCATAAAATTTATAACCAATTTCATTTCATTTATTCATTCAAAATGAGTCAACAACAATCTTACATTCGTCATTCTATTTCAAAATTTCAAGAAAGTTTATGGTCTGATTATCGTACTCATCCAAAATCTCATAATCATAATGTGGTTTCTTTTCTTACTGTTAAAAACACCAATGCTATTCGTGAGATTACTGCTGCTGCTAATATTTTAACTGCTAGACATGATCTTTTGAGAAGTACTTTTCATGATACTGAAGAAAATGGAAAACCTACTACCCCTTATAGAAAGAGTTTCCTGCTAATCATCAAAGAATTGCTGTTCAAGTTATGGAAATTACCGCTAATGAAAGAGATAAAATTATTAAAAAACCTTTTAAACTTGAAAAATCTTATCCTATCCGTTTCTATCTTTTTATGGACCCTGAAGGAAAACATGATAATGAAATCTGTTTTGTTTCTCATTATATCGCTATTGATAGCGCTGGTAATTTTAATTTAATTCATGAATTTCAAACTTTAATGGCCAAAAAATCTTTACCTATTTCTAAACTTACTTTCGATGTTTACATCATGAGACATAATGATTGGCTTAATTCTAATGATGATCAATCTGTGATTTCTCAATTCTGGTTCAATCAAATTAAGTCTACTAAAAATTTTAAATGGCCAACAAAACGTTCCTCTACTTATCACTCTTTAGCTCCTCAACCTGTTGCTTGTTCTTATGAAGTTTTTCATAAAAAAGTTAATGATTTGAAATCTTTGAGTAAAGTTTTTGGTCTTACTTGGTTTAAAGCTATGTTTTCTGCTGTGTGGATCACTATGGCTTCTTTCATTGATATGAGATATATCAATTTATGGATCCCTTTTACTGGAAGATGTATGCAAATGGGTGATGATAAAAATGCTTTATCTAAACTTATCGGTCATTGTGTTAATTGTATGCCTATTCATTTTGATGTTGATACTACAAATCCAATTAATTTAAATTCTTTCTTTCAACATGCTTCTACTTTATTAACTGATGCAAAGAAAAATGAAATGTATCCATTTCTCGATCTGGCTAGATATGCTCAACAAAATTTTCAACGTCAACTTAAACAACAAATTTTGGTTACTTCAACACCTAAAATGCCTAAAGGTTCTCGTATGTGTACCTTTAAATCTGAAATTGAACTTACTTTCGATTTCGTTCTACTTAATGATGAATCTATTAAATTAGTTATTGATTATAATCCTTCAATTTTTGATGTGGCAAATATTAAACAAATTGCTTCTCAATTCTTGGATGAAATGAATATGATAAAAGCACATAAAATTTCTTCTTTCAAAATTCCAAGAATTTTAATGCTTAATGACTCTACATCTAATAATTCTTCCAAAATTCCAAGAATTTTAATGCTTAATGACTCTACATCTAATAATTTTTCTTCCATTTCCCAATTTTCAACAATTCATGAACTCATTCAACGTCAAGCCAAATCAATACCTCATCAATTAGCATTATACATGGCTGAACTTAATTTATCAATGACTTATCAAGAATTGGACATTAAAAGTAATCAAATTGCTCGATACCTTATTTAACTTGGTGTCATTGCTGAAACTTTTGTTATTATTCATATGAATCAAAATATGTATATAATTCCTTGAATGGTTGGTATTCTTAAAGCTGGTGGTGCTTATGTTCCTATTGATAAAGAATATCCTACTGCAAGAAAAGAATTTATTCTTAATGACTCTAATGCTTCATTTTTAATTACCGATGATGAGGATTATGCTTGGTATACAAATTATTCCGGTCAAGTAATTCAAACTAGTAAAATAAATCTTACAAATCAATCAATTTCTCCTGTAAAGCCTACATGTGATGCTGGAAATCTTTGTTATATGATTTATACTTCAGGAACAATTGGAAAACCAAAAGGCATATTGATTGAACATCAAAGTGTTACAACCCTTTTAACTGATCCTAGGTACAATCATTTCAATCGTCAAGGTGGTGGTGTTAGAATCTTACAAGCTTTCTCAATGGCTTTTGATGCATCTTTAATGAGTTGGGCTATTGGTCTTGTTCGTGGTGCTACCGTTTGTTTCGCAAAAAATCCTAAATTATTAATTGGAACTTACTTAACTGATATGATTAAGCTTAATGAAATTGAAGCAATAGCCGTTGTTCCAAGTGCTTTATCCACAATATCACCTGACGATTGTGGTCCAACTTTGAAATGGTTTTTAGTTGGTGGTGAAGTCGTGTCATCAAATTTAATTAAGACTTGGAAATCAAAAGCTGATGTATTCTTTAATTGTTACGGTCCTACTGAAGCAAGTATTATTGCTACAGATTATGATATCATCGCTGACAATAATCCAGTTTCATTCGGTTCTTTAATCGGAACTCCACGTCAACAAGCGGGGATCCATATCTGTGATCCAGTTACGCAAGAATTGGTTGATGGTGTAGGTGAAATATGTATTAGTGGTATCTGTTTGGCTCGAGGATACCTGAACTGTGATGATCTTACAGAGGAAAGATTCATCTATCATCCAAAATTAGAAAAACGTATTTATCGAACTGGTGATCAAGGTCGTGTCCTTGAAGATGGTAGAGTTGTTTTCTTGGGGCGAATTGACAGACAAACAAAACTACATGGGTTCCGTATTGAACTTACTGAAGTTGAAACTGTGATGAGCAGTACATGCCCCGAAATTTCTCTAGTATCCGTTCAGGTTAACGAAGCACGACAAACTTTGGTAGCTTTCATTACACCAAAGAATTTAGATCGTGATGCGGTTACTGCTGAATTATACAAAGTAATGCCAAAACATCAAGTTCCAACCATCATTCCTGTCGATGAATTACCTCTTACTCATAACGGAAAGATTGATCATGCTGAAGTCAAAAAAATGATGCCAAAATTGCTTGAGAAATCAAATTTAAAACCTCAATCACAAAAGAAAGTTGCGTCAGATGTTTTAAAAAATTGGTCTACTATAGTTGCTCACTTACAAACATTCTGGCAAGAACTTATTGGATTAAAGGATAAACCAGATATTGATACCACCTTTTTTGATTTGGGTGGTCATTCTCTCTTGTTGGTACAATTACATAAAAAAATCCAACAAATTCCATCTGCACCACAAATTGATCTTATGAATCTTATACAAAATCCAACGATTAGGTCTATGGCAAATCTTCTTGCACCCGCTGTTGAATCATCAATTTCTGAAACCGTTCAGGAGAACATAAACGAAATAACTAATAATGAACCATACGCTTTTAATGATGAAATAGCAATAGTTGGAATGACTGGATTCTTCCCCGGTGCTAGATCAGTTGATGAACTTTGGGATTTGATTGTAACTGGAAAACATGGAATTCATAAATTTACCGATGAAGAACTTGATAGATTACATGTACCTATGGATATGCGGAACGACCCTAGTTATGTACGAAGATTAGGTGTTCTCTCTGACATCGATCAATTCGATGCCGCGTACTTTAATATTACTTCTAAAGAAGCAATGGCCATGTGTCCTCAACAACGTTTATTATTAGAATTGTCTGCACAAGCTTTAGATGAAGCTGGAATCAATCCTGAAAAAGAAAAAGGTCGAATAGGTGTATTTGCCGGGGTTGTAGATAGTACATATAACAACACTTCTATGGATTACGCTAAACTAGACCCTGCTATACGTCATAGAAACATTCTTGGTGTTTCTATTGGAAGTGTAGCAACAAGAGTTTCATATCATTTGAATCTTACTGGCCCATCTTATTCAGTTAATTCCACATGTTCTAGCTCTTCAACCGCGTTAAAGACTGCAGTGAATAGTCTTCAATGCGGCGACTGCGATGTTGCGATTGTGGCTGGTGCTTGTATCCTCTTACCTCAAACTGGATATTTATATCAACCTGAATTCATTTACTCTGCCGATGGTCTATGTCGTCCATTTGACCATCTTTCTGATGGTACCGTTACTGGTAATTCAGTGACAGCCATTGTTTTGAAGAAATTATCAAGTGCTGTCGTTGATAGAAATCCTATTTCCGCAATTCTTAAATCTGTTGCGTTTAATAATGATGGAAGCAACAAACTTAGTTTTATGTCACCTAGTGTTGATGGACAATGTGATGCAATCAAAAAAGCAATTCAAGCTGCAAAAATTTCTCCTACTGATATTTGTGTTATTGAAGCTCATGGAACAGCGACAAGAATAGGTGACCAAATGGAAATTAAAGGTCTTACTAAAGCATTCAATGAACTTACTCCATCAACACAAAAGAAGACACAATATTGTGCTATTTCTTCGGTAAAAACTAATATTGGACATTGTAATATTGCCTCTGGAATAACTGGTGTAATAAAAGCTGTTAAATCATTGGAAAATCGTGTCATAGCTCCTATGGCGCATGGACTCTTTGAAAAACCAAACCCATTAATCGATTTTGCATCTACACCATTTTATGTTGCAACAGATTTAAGTAAATATGAGGGCTCAAAACCCATGTACATTGGTGTGAGTTGTTTTGGTGTTGGCGGAACAAATGGACATTGTATTTTAGCAGAATATAAAAAAGAAAAATTGGTTCAAAAAGATTCTGCGTTTGAAAACTCTAGAGTTATTTTACCTTTTTCTGCAAAGAACATTGATGCATTAGGCAGAATGAAAGAAAACTTTGTTAATCATTTCGAAAAGGGTGATTTTACTTTGCAAGATCTACATGACACGGCAAGAACACTCCAACTGGGTAGAACAGAACATTCATTCCGTGGTATAGTGATTGCATCATCAATTTCTGAGGCAATAACTCAACTTAAACAAGCAAAAGCACCAGTACGTGCAAAAGCTACTAGATGTAACATTTTCGTCGCTCCCGGACAAGGTAGTCATTCCATCTCAATACATAGACAGCTCTATAAATCTTCAGTATTATATCAAAAAAGGTTTAAAGATTGTGTGAAATTTTTACAAAAATATGATCCATCAGTACCAGATCTTACATTGTATCTTACGACAGATATACATGATGCAACTTATGATCCTCTTTTGGTTTTCATATCAAGTTATATTTTAGCAGAAATTATTCAATCTTCACTCAAACTACCAATTTCTGGCGCGATTGGGCATAGTCTTGGACAATATGTTGCAGCAACTATTGCTGGTGTATTCTCATTAGAAATGGCTTTGGCCATAGTCCTTGAAAGAACAAAAGTCATGCATAAAATGGAGAAAGGTTTAATGTTGGCGGCAAATTTAACTAGAGAAGATGCGTTAAAGTATGTTACTAAAGGAAAAATATCTTTGGCTGCAAGTAATGAATCAGAACAACAAGTTTTTTCGGGAAGACCAAAAGACATTGAAGAATTAGCCAAAATTTTGAAAGAAAAAAATTACAAATGTAAGGCTCTTAACTCTTCATACGGATTCCATTCTCATCTTGCAGATCCGATTTTGGGTGAATTTGAAAGTAAAATTTCACCATTACTTGAAGAAGCATCTTTAAAGAAGGATACTCTTATAGGTGTTCCTTTCATTTCAAATGCTACCGGACAATGGGTTGATATTGAAGAAATTTATACTGCAAAATTCTGGAGTGTACATCTAAGAGAAACAGTTTTATTTGAAGCTGGAATTTCGACCATTTGTTCAGCATTCGTAAATCCATCATTCATTGAAATTGGAATAGGTGCAGTTACTAGCAGGTTAATTCAAAGAATAACAAATAATAAAGAAATAGCAATAAGAGGTTTTGATTCGGAAAAGACTTCCATTGAAGAAATGATTGGAAATTGTTGGGCAAATGGAGTAGAAATCAACTGGATCAAATACTATGAATCTGTTTCTCCTGCAATGATAAACACACAACTCATTAAATTACCATCTTATCCATTCAAACGCAAGAGCTATTGGATCGATCAATTCAAACAAGCTAACCATAGATTTATGGTTCAAAATAATTATGAAGATTCTTCAAAAGATGATGAAAACGATGACGAAGGTGTAGAAAATTTAGAAGATAATAAAGATCTCACAATCGAAGACAGAGTTGCTCTATGCTTTAGGAAAGTTTTGGACTTGGAAGACGTTTATCATGACAATAGTTTCTACGAACTCGGTGGTGATTCCCTTTTAGGATTGTCTTTACTGGCAGCATTAAAGAAAGAGTTTGGCATTCACTTATCAACGCCAAGTATTCTAGTAACCTATCCAACTCCTAATACCTTGGCTAAATTCATTCAAGAGACCATTAATAAACAAGAATCTCAAGTAAACCAACCAACATTGGTAACTCTTAACCCTGGAGACAAAGAATTCAAGAATGCAATTTATGTAATACATCCAATTGGAGGATCCTGTGCCATTTATAAAGATATGGCAAAATCATTTGGAAAGATGCCTGTTTATGGATTGGAATATCCAGAAATTGGATCTCCAAATATGAAATATCATACCGTACAAGAGCTCGCTCAAATTTACCTTAATGAAATATTGAAAACAAATACTAATGGCCCATATAATCTTTTAGGTTCATCTTTTGGTGGTGTAGTTGCTTATGAAATAGGATGTGAACTAATTAAACAAGGAAAATCCATAAATTCTCTAACAATGTTAGATTCTCCAAATAGCAAATATATGCCAAAATCTTTAACAAATGCAGCAGAAATTTTGGACTATATGTTTTCTGAAATATATGATCTAAATGGATTAGTGGGTCTAGATGATGAGAAAGCATTAGAACTGGTTGTTAGTAAAGCATCAAAATCGGGTTCAAAAGGCTCAGTCTCATCAGATATGTTGAAAATATTTGTTGATTTTGCCAAGCTCAACTTAAGAGCATTAAAAGAGTATCAATTGCCAATACCTAAAAAACCAATGAATGCATTATTCTTTAAAGCCATGATTAAGAGAGAAGAATACGACGCAACTTTCCCAGAAAGAGCCTGGAAAGAAGCACTTGATAGTTGTGGTGGACGATTCGAATGTATTGAACTAGAAGGAACCCACAATGGGTTGAATCGACTGCCCATATGTGAAAAGTTTCACATTTGTTAGAAGACAATTATTCAGCAGATTAACTTGATAATTGACTTTTGTTTACTGTTTTTTTATTATTTATTTGTCCTTCATTAAGTCTTCAATCAAAATGTAGCATAGATAAATTAAAAAAAATTGACATGAAAATTAAATTTAATGTGCAGTATTGTTGATTAATAAGGCCATACCAAATTAATTCTTTGTTTAACATAACTTTATTAACTAGTGAGATGAGGGGGAGAGGGTTAAAATAATAAACAAAACAGGTTTTGTACAGTGCGCGACACTTAAAGACTACATTTGTCCCATTTCAGGTTCGTCAATAGTTGCTATATAGTAAAGTCAATATTTTACTATGAAACGATATTAATGCATTAAGTAAAGTTGTTTGGAAGATCAAAATACATATATTCTGAAAGTTTCACATTAATTAGATAACTTTCTGTTAATATGTTTTTGCATATTACCTTTAGGCGAAAATTTTTAAAAAAGTTTAAAATTTTGTTCGCCTAATCGTAATATGCAATAATGTATTAATAAAATGTTGTTTAACTTATATAAAACTTTAAAAATACATGTATTTTGACCTCCTGAACAACGTTACTTAATGAATTAATATCGATTAACATAGTAAACTTTGACTTTACTATGTAGAAATTATTAATGATTTTTATTTTAACGATTTATTATTTTATTCGAATTTAATTAAAAAAAAAATATATAATGTATTTTTAAGAAAATTTATTAATTATTATTTAATATTTGTCCCATTTTGTAAAAACAAGGGAAATCTTTTTCCCATAGATCCTAATTTACTAAGAAAATAAAAAATCGAATACATACAACATAGAAACAAGTAAAGGAAACTAAATAATTATATAGCAAAAGCTCACTTTGAGCTGAATAGTAGCAGCAAACAAAGAGATATAGATACACCAACAACAAATAAATAAAGATTAAGAGAAAAAGAGATAAAGAGATTACTTTTATAACTAAAGAAGACATACAATGGCCTTAGGGTCTCACATCTGAATTTTCTTTCTAGGTCTAATTACAATTATCAATGAATAACAAGACAGCAAGTAAAATGTCAAAAGATAAAGTCAACAACAAACTAGATAAGACCTATACTGATTAAGCAACAAAAAGAAGACATACATTTCTTTCTAGAACAAAAAATAATATAAAAAATAAGCAATTAGTACACTCCTATCAGAAAATGTAATGATATCATTTCACATCAATGACAACAATAACAAACTAGTTACAACAAGTTCTAAAAATGCAATTATAAGTATGATAAGCAATAATAATGAGCAAATAATTATTTTTTACAATATATCTCATATTATGATAAATAGCAATAACAACATGTTGATAGAGACAGACATAGATACAACTGCCAAAAATAGTAATGAAATGACCACTCAACCTGTAGAAAATATCTAAGCAACAACTAGTCAAAATATCATATATGACAATGAAAAAAACAACAACAGAATAGAAACAGAATCAGTAGATACAATAGTTAGTCACCAGACAAAACCTAGACCCTGAACCTATAGTTAAGTAACAAAACAAAACATTGCAATAGAGAAAAGAATGCAAACTGATGATGAATAAGATTATAACCAATTATGAACAGATACCATTTAGCCAAGTATCAGAAAAGATAGCATTGAATTCTTTGATACCAAAAAATGGAATTATAATAAACTTATAGAATCATTTAAAGATAAACAAAGAATTATTGATTTTGTAATATACAAATTACAAACCAAATATACTAATCACATAATTCATCTTGTAATTGAAGTGAAATTTAAACATCTAAATACTGCATTTTTCCTTACCTTCATTTGAATAAAAAAATTTATATCTTTATATCAAGCTGCCTATGAAAAATTATTTAAGAAAACATTAGCAATATACAAAAACCTAAACATGATTACTATTACAGACAAGACAACTAGAGATATAATATACCAAAAACTTTAACAAAAGATCATGATAGATTTTATAACTAATAAAAACTTTAACAAAGTAACTTCTAAAAAAGTTTACCAAATAATCAAATACTATAAAGAATTTATGAAAGAAAAAGCACTTATTAAAAAAGAAGATATTTAAGAAGCAATTAAAACAGCATTTGCAACATTACTTGAATCTCTTCTTACAAAATCAAAAGAAATACCTGAAAACATCATATAAATGCTGCCATTCAAGCTACCAATCAGCCAGCATACACATACAAAGGTCATTGTTATTTTACTACACAAAATCTTTTATTTCGACTGACTACTAGAAGAATACTTTATCAAACTAGAACTCTTGCTGACAGAGATATTATAGTTGAACCTAGCAGTAAAGGGCCTATTTCTAATAACAAGCTAAAGTGCATTACAAAACCTAGCATTTTATAGGAAAAGATTGCAAGATTGGTATGACTGCACAACTATTTCATCAAACTACTTTAATCTTCCATCTTCAAAACAACCACTCCCACTAGCTTACTAGAACCTAAGCAGCAAATACAAACTTCATTTTTCTATCAATATGCAAGACCATGATACAGACCTACTAGACTTAGTACAGTGGCTAAGAGAAGACTACTACTTTAAAACCAAACTATTATTTTCAAAAAATGTAAAAAAGATACAAATCCCAGATACTTTTACTTTTTCAATTCAAGAAGATACAATTACAATATGCTTTGTTGAACAAATTTCTTTGGTTTACAAATTCTTATTTCCACTTCCACCAAATATCATGACATCAAACTCTACCAATAAACTCTGGTTACCTAATGATCCACAACAGATTAATAATTACAACATTATCACTTCTATAACATCAAGAAAACAGCTAGTAAATACAGCAAGAATGCTTAGAGAAAATTACTACTTCTATTGAATTTCAAAGACCTGGATACAGATAAAAAAATCCACTGACAAAACTAATAAAGAAAACATAGCACCTAGCACTAAACTACAACCTGACAAACCAATTATTCCTGATACTTCATTAGCAATTATGGAATACCTAAAAACAAAAAATATAGAAGAAACATATATAACAATCCTTATAACAGAACAAGCAAAAGTAAACAAAACTCTTGAATTTCTGTATTAACACTTTATTATTGAAACTATTCTAGATAAGATTCTTTCATTATCACTACTCCCAGCTCCTAACTGGGATATTTTTAAAACTATTTCTTTCCAATAATAGAATATGACTTAAACACTTCCATCAATGGTAATGAGACTCCTATAATTACTCAACAATTAGAAGAAGAATTAAACAAACTAAACCTAATTGAATTTAATTTAAATGAAAAAATTAACATAGCTACTCACAATGTTAGAGGAATTAATGAATATTGAAAATGCAAATATGAATTAAATACTGTATAAAATCTAATCTGCATATAATCTCAATTACTAAAACTAAACTAAAGAAATCAACAACAAAATTACTAAGTAACTCTTTATACAAAATCTATATCTCAAACTTTATATCATACAAACTAAACCAGTGTGAATCCAGTTTGGAAACTGCACTAATGGTCTGTAATTAACTACAGCCATATATTCACAAAATCAATACTCTTCTAGGAAAAGCAATCTGTATTAACTTTTTCTTCTCTAATAATAATAAAACTCACATTATCTCAATTTATATCCCCTTTAACCATTCAACTTTTCTTAAGAATATCCAATCTCAGATACTTACTTGGATTACAAAAGCCAAAGCTAAAAACTGGCATTTGATTATATTTGATAATTTTAATAGCAACCAACATAGAGATAAATATTTTCCAATCTTTACTAATTTAAATGCTGCAAATTTAACAAGTCTTCCCATCTTTCACAATATCCAAATACCTACCTGACATGGTTCAACTAACACAAGTTAAATAGATGACATATGGACTTCCTTTACATACTGTTAGCATTTGAACCCCCATCACTTATCAATGCTTTGCACATTTCAGATAATGATCACTGCATCTTACAGACAACTTGACATACAAACTTTACTCCACAAAAAAATCCTAGAAAATAAAAAAGAAAAAGAAAAATATATCTATATGAAAAAATAATACAGAAGACCTAGAATAATTTTGAAGACTCAATAAACACTCTCTTTAATGCACAAACTATTTTTTTAGAAATATGAGCAAAGAAGAGATAAACAGAACCTGGAACTTTTAGTTAACAAAAGTTAAAAAAATGATAAACAAACATATTTCATATACCTTTACAGTTTTAAAACCCTTTTTTGCAATTTTCTTAAAAGCAACCAAACTCCATACAGCCTTAAAACATATTAACAAATGTTATACTGCCTCTTAAGCAATCTACTAAACAGTCTAACAAAAACTAATTATTATTTGTCCAAAGCTGCTATCCTGGCAGAATTGACATTTCATTAATTATACAAGCACAATTAAACTTCTTGGTCTCTAACATAATAATACTAATAAAAGAACATAAACACACAATCTGGCAAGCATATAATTTTAAAAAAAAGTAAGAACAAAGTAAACAAATTAAATTTTATACAAATAGAAAGTACTCAGACTTTAAAGATAACACAAGTTGGATGTTAAATAGCATTCTAAAAAGAAGAGCAGAACTAGTTAGTTTTGAAAAAATTATTTTATCAGACAAAATATTTATTAACAAATATGAAATCAAAGAAGCCACACATTTACACTTCAAAAACTGAACAAAAAACAATTCTGCCAATAATGACAACTAGAAAAAATAGGAAATAACATATCTTCTACTTAACAATATCAAAAACAACATCTATGACAATCTTCTTAATCCTATCACAATGATGAAGTTTGAATAAACAATAAAAGTGGTGACTAAAGAAAAAGTAACTGAACCACTAGAAATCTCAAATGACGTTCTTCAACATTTACTCCTATCAGCCCTCTCTTATCTTTTAACTTTACTTAACAACTGCTTAATACAAGAAATCATTCCTAACCAGTAGCTAAAAGC